ACCTACCTACCTATCTACCTACTTATCTCCCTACCTGTCTGTCTACCTACTTACCTGCCTACCTATCTTTCTACCTACCAATCTACCTACCTACTTATCTACTTTTCTACCTGTCTACCTATCTGCCTACCTACCTACCTACTTATCTGCCTATCTACCTACTTATCTATCTACCTATCTACCAACTACCTATTTATTGCCTATCTTCCTACCTATCTACTTATCTATCTACCTATTTATTTATCGACCTACCTGTCTGCCTATCTACCTACTTACCTGTCTACCTACTTATCTACCTACTTTCCTACCTGTCTATCTACCTACCCACCTATCTATCTACCTACCTACCTAGCTATTTACTTATCTGCTTACCTACCTATCTACCTACCTACTTACCTATCTACCTATCTACTTATCTATCTACCTACCTGTCTGCCTATCTACCTACTTACCTGTCTATCTACCTACCTACTTACCTGTCTACCTACCTACTTATCTACCTACTTACCTACCTATCTACCTATATATCTACCTACTTACCTACCTACCTAGCTATTTACCTACCTGCCTACCTACTTGCCTACCTACCTATCTACTTACCTTCCTTTCTACCTACTTGCCTACCTACCTATCTACTTACCTTCCTATCTATCTAACTAGTTACCTACCTCTACCTATTTACCTATTGGCCTACTTATCTACCTAGCTATACACAACTTACCTACCTATTTACCTTTCTACTTACCTATTTACCTATCTACCTACCTACCTGCCTACCTATCTACTACCTACCTGTCTACTGCCTACCTACCTACTTATATATGTACCTACCTACCCACCTATCTACTACTTACCTATCTACTACCTACCTACCTACTTATATATGTACCTACCTACCTATCTACTTACCTAGTTACCTATCTACCTGCCTACTTACCTACCTACCTACCTACCTGTACACTACCTACCTACCTTACTTACCTACCTACCTACTTACTTACCTATCTACCTATTTACCTACCTACCTACTTATATACATACCTACCTACCTACCTGCCTCTCACTCTTTCTGTTTCCTAGTTTTCCCTTTTATTATTACTTCGCACAGACCATGGGGATTCTTTCCATATCAGTGAATATTTTGGGGGGATATTTTTTATGGTACCTAATAATGGATGTTTCATTATTTACTGAACAATCTGCTCTTGGTGGACATTTAGATCTGATTTTTCTTTATTGTAAAATTTGACATCTTAAGCATCTTTACACATTCATCTTTGTGCGTGTCTTTGAATGCGTCCTGTGCATAGTTTTTAATAGTGTTTTTGCTGGGTGAATTTTTTTTAATTAAAAAAAATTTAAAGACTATAGACATGTGTAACCAAAGTACCCTCCCAAGAGACTGTGACAGTTTACACAGCTTCTAGGAGCTTTTTGTGTTTGAAAAAGCAGGAGTTTATTAAGAAGACAGAAAAGCTCCCACAGGGGCAGGGGGCCTGAAAGAGGGTTGCCACTTCCAGGAGCTTTTAGCAAGTGTTATTTTCCCATTTATTCTCCAGTCAGATAATCTTACTCTTTTTATAATTTCAGTCCATTGGATGATATGGTTTCAGATTTCTGTTTGCATTTGTTTTGAATTTTTGAGGCTAAATTTTGCAAAGCGATTATTTTATTTTTAAAATTTTTAATTTTCTTTTCATATAGAGTGTCACTCTGTCACCCAGGCTGGAGCAGAGTGGCACAGTCCTAGCTCACTGCGGTTGTGAACTCATGGGCTCAAGCGATCCTTTTGACTCAGCCTCCTGCGCAGCAAGGACTGTGGGCACACACCACTACATCTGGCTAATTTTTGTTTTGTGTTGCTGTTTTGTGGCGTCAAGGGTCTCGCCATGTTGCTCAGGCGGGTCTCAAATGCTGGGCCTCAAACGACCCTCCTGCCTTTACCTCACGAAGTGCTGGGATTATAGGCATGTGCCACCATGCCCGGCCCAGAGCTCTTATTTTAAAGCAAAGTAGAAAACACGATGTCTTACTTCATTCATATCTTGGTTTGATTCATTTCTCGGAATCCCCTGAAGTTAGCTCCCTGCAGGATAGGTCTTCGGGGGGCAGACCTGCCCAGGATGGGGGCCTGATTGAAAGAGTGGGATTAAGGCAGCGAGAGGGTCTCATGGCTTAGAAGTACCAGATGATGAGAAATAAGTACAAAGTAGGAGAAACGAAGAAACTAAAGGCTTAGAAAAACTTCCTCTCGTCCACTGCTTTGCTGTGAAAGGGAGGAAGACAATTGTTTTCTCCCTTCTGAGCTGTATTGTCCCTTGGCCCCGTCTCAGGGCTCAGGAGAGGCCGCTTGACCTGCACGTTGGCTGCATGTGGGTGCCGTCATTTTTTGTGTGCTCTTTTTTTTTTTTTTTGAGTTGTAGTCTCACTTTGTCACCAGGTTGGAGTGCAGTGGCATGCTCATGGCCACCCCAGCGTCGACCTGCTGGGCTCCAGCGATCCTTCCGCCTCAGCCTTGGAAAGTAGCTGAAACTACAGGCATGTGCTACCATGCCTGGCTAATTCATTTACTTATTTATTGTAGAGACAAGGTCTCGCCAAGTTGCCCAGGCTGATCGCGAACCTGCGGGCTCAGGCAGTCCACTCGCCTCGGGCTCCCAAAGTGCTGGGATGACAGGCAGAGCCACTGAGCCCGGCCTCGTGTGGTCTTTTATGAATGAAAGTCCGCCTGTAATCCCGTGCCTTTGGGAGGCTGAGGTGAGTGGATTGCCTGAGCCCACGGGTTCGAGACTCGCCTGGGCAGGCGAGACCTCATCTCTACAATAAATCAAAATTAGCCCGGCGTGGTAGCGCGCACCTGTAGTTCCAGCTACTTGGAAGGCTGAGGCGGAAGGATCGCCGGAGCCCAGCAGGTCGAGGCTGCGGTGGCCGGGAGCGGCCACTGCCCTCCAGTCTGGGCGACAGTGAGACTTCGACTCAAAAGAAAAAGAAGGAAAGTCCTCATCCCAGTTTTCACATTGCCCCTTTGGAAACCCGCTTTCCACGTTACTGACTTTGGGATGTAAGCCCATGGGCCATTTGGGGAACTACTCACCCTTTCATTTTTCTAAATTAAACATTCACCAAGGCAATCTGAGCTTTGTCTATTTTTTTCCTTTTGGGTAAATTGATTCCCCAATTATAAATAATGATTATTTAATGTCTGTTTATTCTTTCACAGTTTAGGGTGAATCCTAATTAGCCATCTCAGACCCAAGATGTGTGGTTTGTGGCTTGGAAGGCTTCCTAGTGCCCTCCCTCCTAGGACTAATGATGCAGAACGAAGAAAGACGGACAGACACGGAACTTCATCTTAGGCGGCAGTGACTCCGGGGACACCCACGCCCTCGCAGGCTTGTCGTTGGATGAGCACGGAAGCCCCTGCCCAGATGGTCTCAGCGTTGCACCTGCTCACTGCGCAGAAAAGGCGTGGGCTGACTTACAGAATGCTGGTTTCTGAAAGGCCACAAGCACTGTTTTGGGGTGGAGTTTTGGGCAGTCACTTTCCCTAGTGCTTTAAAGAGATTATTACGGGGTTTGATGGGTAGTCATCTTCCAGATCCTTGTGAAAACAGCTCTAATCCTAATTGATGGTGGAAACTGATTCAGGGAGTCAGTAAAAAAGATGTCTGCGACTTCTCATTCAGAATAGGCTAACTGGATCGATCGGTCACCCGTCAGCCTTGGCTGTTGACATGCTTGAGGATTAAACATGACTTTCTGGAACAAAGTAACAGTTTTTCCCAAGCATAATGTACAGGCCGGATTTCAGTAGGAATGATGTTTATAGAAGAAGGTAGTCCTAATTTTGCTCTATGTACATGTAAAAACATCAATGAAAGTATTTAAAGAAGAGGGGCTTCTGTTTAGCAGGATTTTCTACTTAAGAGGTTAACAGAAGGGAAGGAGAAGTTATTGTTTTATGGGCACAGAGTTTTAGTTTTGTAAGATAAGAATCCTGGAGGTAGATGGTGGTGATGGTTGCCCAACCCTGAATGTGTTTAATATCACTGAGCTGCACATTTAAAAATGGTTCTTGCAGGGAGCTGTGGCTTGCACTTGAAATCCCAGCTGCTCAGGAGGCTGAGACAGGAGAATTGCTTACGCCTAGGAGTTTAGCCAGCAGTGGTGAATGATTGTGCCACTGTACTCCAGCCTAGGTGGCAGAGAGAGACCCCATCTCTTAAAACAAAACAAAAAGGCCAAGAGGGTACATTTTATTTTATGTGTATTTCACCACAATTTTCAAAAAAGGATCAATGGAAACCTCTTTTGGAGAACTTTTCGGCCCAAGCTTTGAAATAGACACGGGATGACATAATTGTGTGCCCGCGAGATGCTTGGGGTCATTGCTCTGGGGGCCAGGTGTCATTCTGTAGGACTGGGGAGACAGATGGCGTTGGTTTCAGGATGTATTTGCCAAAGAGCTTGAAATTTTCTTCTGTTGTTGTGTGTCCTGTGAGGTGCATTTCCTCCAAAATGTACAGAGAGAAAAATAATTTAGACCCCAACTGATCGGGTTCCCATTGACCTGTGTTTTAGGCTCTGTGCTGAGAGGCCAGCTACCTAACGTCGTGTCTGACTTCAACTGACTTTTGTGTGGCTGCACGGGGGCCAGAGTTCAAGTGCAGCTTTCTTCGCCTCCGTGCCTTCCTAGGTCATTGTGCTCTGCGTTTCTGAGACTCAGTGAATGTGTGTGAAGGTCAGCTGGAGTGCAGAGGAGAATTAATATTAAAATGCACTTAATGAGTAAGCTGTCAGGGGACTCCTTGAGACACCGTGAGTGACAGAAACCTTCCCCTCACATCCAGAGCTCTGCACAGATGGACTGCTGGGTAATGCAGCCTCAGACAGTATCCCCTGATGGGCTTTAGGAATTATGTCTGGTCCAGCCCTGCTGCACTGATGTCATCACTCTTGAGTGACAGGCCCCTTTTTTCACAGAATACAGCCCCTCCCTGGGAACGAGGGAGCAGAAGTGGCCATCTACATCTACCGGTGTAACAGTTGGAGAATAAAAATAAAACTACAGACTGGGCCGAGAAGGTACTGCACACACTAACCCAGCGTCCCTGGCAGTCTGAGCGGACGGTGGGGTTTTGGTCTTTACTTTGAATTGCCATGATTATTTAATGTTTAAACCTGTGAACTGTTATGAGGCTGTAAGATTTTGAATTCACTGGCCTTCGAAGGCTCTGCCTCGGGGCATAAACACAGGAAGATTAAACATTCATTAAAGTATCTACGCAGGAGAGAATAAACAAGGTAAAGAAGCAGAAGCACAGCTGGCCTCCCCAGCGGGTACGCCGCTTTAGAAAGAGAGGCCTTGTGCTCATGTAGGAGGCGGATGTCATGAGGCTTCACCAGACCCAAGGGCATGGGTGTTTCTCAGGAAGGCCTCCGACCTTTGACTCCTCGAAGAAAAACGTGAGAAGCTCGTGGGATGACGGGCCAACCCTCCACAGGCCCTCATGGTGTGGCCAAAAGGAAACACGGCCATGCTCAAGCTACGTGTTGTACCGTCCTCGAGTTTCTTGCCAAACCCAGGGAGGTCTCCAAACCTGACTGACACCTCTCCTCCCTGCAAATTCTAATTCAGTGCATCTGGTGTGGGCCTAGAAATCTGCATTTTATTTTTTATTTCCTTTTGTTATAGAGATGTGGGGCACAAGTCATGATCGGCTGCACAAGTCCGCTTCGAGCGGGTGGAGTTTGGGCCTCCAGCTGGGCCGCGCTTCCCCTGGTTTGGGACTGGGTCCCCCTCGTGTTGTGGCACGTCCCTCCACGCCCAGTGTCCTGTGACCCCTGATTCCTCTCTTGAGCTCATGTGATTAATGTGCTCAGTGGCTGATGCATTCAGTTCTTTGTTTCTGTGATCGATCACTAGGTGTGATGGGCTTCAACTCCATCCGACTTGCTGCGAAGTCCATGATTTTGCCCTTCCTTATGACTGTGTGCTACCCCGTCGTGTACATGTACCACACAGAAATCTGTACTTAAGAGTCTGTCATGCATGACCAGCTTTGACAACGACGGGTCAAGATCGCTGGTTTTAATTAAAATGAGGATGGGGGAGAAGGAGGGAGGGAAAGGCAGAGAAAGAGGACGATGAGCCTTGGATGCCTTTGTTCAGATGGGGTCGTCTGAGGGACCGGGGTATGTGAATCAGTTCCGAGCAGAGCTGAGGCAGCTGAACTGGAGGTGGAGTTGAGAAGTCTCTTGAGTTCCCGGGGCCGCGAGAGGGAAGACCCTGTCGAGCAAACCAGACTTAGCCCTTGCCACTGACCTTGGTCACCCGCTGCCTCTTCCCTGCCCGCACTGCTGTCTGTCCCTTATGTCTGCTGTCCATGTGCTGGTCTGGCCCCTTCAGCCCTCCGTCTGGATTCTGCTGTCTGTTCTCTGTCTTCACGCAGGGGCTCCCAAGTTAGCCTTCCCCAGAACACCATTTCGGAACCTCTGCTTTCCATGGGGGGCCCAGCCAGCAGGGTCTCCCCACTGGGCATGTCCCAGCCTGGTGGACAGGACTGGACACACCAGGTGGGTCTGAATTGGGCTGTAAGCTCATTTCAGCACAAGGTGTACCTTTGTGAAATGGCATGGTGGTTTTGAGAGAGCACTGACCTTGAAGTCTGATAGATTTTCTGCGGGTTCTTCTCAGCGCACAGCTCCTCTCCCATCTTTCCATTTGCTGAGGTCAAACTCCTAGGAGTCGTCGTTTGACTTTTGTCTGTTATTCACATCCACATTTAAATCGTGAACCCTGTAAATGACATCGAGAGGCCACCTGCTCTCCCCACCTCCGTTGTTAACACCCAGGTCTGAGCCACCATGGTGGGGGGCCTGGAAGGTGACTGCCATCTCCTAGTTGCTCTAGCAGCTTCTTCCCTTGTTCTTGAGTCTCTCCGAGCATGGTGTCCTGATAAGGCTTTAAACACGACTCAGGTAGCGTCTCTTTTGTCTCTCAGAGTCAAAGCCAAAGGCTTTATGGGCTCCCCAGAACCCCCCACAGTGTGGCATCTGCATCCACATCTCTTACCCATCTCGGACTTCTCGTCCCTTGATTGCAGAGCGTCCTCTTTGCACCGGGTAGCCACTCTGGCGAGGCAATAAGAGGCCAGTGAGGCTGCTTTTGCAGACGGGTCTAGACAGCCTGTCCTGCAGCTTGGAACGAATATCTGGAGGGCTGAGTGTTGCTGCGTGAGGGTTTCTCCTGCCCATCCTAGTTTCTTAGTGCGGTCCGTGAGAATGATTTCATAGGAGTTTCTGTTCTTTGTAGAGCGTCGATTATCTTTCTGCTTGTAGTTCACCCTACTGCACTTCAAGTAAGAGAGAGAGAGAGAGAGAGAGAGAGAGAGAGAGAGAGAGAAGGGGAGAGAGTGTATGTGTGAGGGGGGTATACTCTGGTCTTTTGCAATTATTTTCATTTTAGTACTCAGGTGAATTGCTGATTAAAAGTGAACTTTTTTATGGCCACGTAAATTGGGGATGATTTTGGCTTAAAAGGATAACTTTGATTTTGGTTTAAAAGGATGAAAACCAAGGTATTTCTGGAAATTAATAAGCAAGGTTGACACTCCACATAAACAGGGGACAGGACACTTGACGTATCGGGTGATGCTTCGGTCTGGCGTGGCGCTTGCAGAGTGTGCAGTTCGAGCTATCGGTCTCTGTTTGAATGGGGGTGCTGTAAGGCCCTCGTGCCTCTGGCCTCCACTTTCTCTCTGCGGCTTCTCTTCTGGCCAGGCGTGCTCCTGCCCCTGGGTCCGCTGCCTTGTTTCCTCTGCCTGAAAGATTTTTGCAGAATTCGGGCTCTCTGTGGTTCCCTCACTCTGCTTCAAGTCTGGCCAATTTTGCCCAGTTAGAGTCAGTTCCAGCCCAGGGTGTATAAAAATGGAACTCCTTGGATAACTCACTTCCTGGGGTCCCTCACCCTGCTTTGCTTTTCTTCACTGCACATTCCATCATCTGACATTCTACTTATTTATTTTGTCAACTGATTATTCAGAGAGTGCTAACAAACATGGGGATCCAAAGTCTGCGAGCACAGGGCCTTTGTTATGACAATGCGGATCCATACAGTAGGAGGTCAGCAAGCACTCGTCAAACTGATGTATTCTTAGTAAATCTGGCTTTTATTTTATTTTATTTTATTTTTGAGTTGGAGTCTCACTCTGTCGCCCAGACTGGGGTGCAGTGGCTGCCCCCGGCCACCGCAGCTCGACCTGCTGGGCTCCGGAGATCCTTCCGCCTCAGCCTTCCGAGTAGCTGGAATTACAGGCATGCGCTACCATGCCTGGCTGATTTTTTGGTTTTATTGTAGAGATGAGGTCTCACTGCCCAGGCAGGTCTCGAACCCGCGGGCTCAGGCCATCCTCTCACCTCAGCCTCCCAAAGGCGCGGGATGACAGGCTGAGCCACCGAGCCCGGCTTTTTATTTTATTTTAAAGATGTGGGATACAATTCAGAATTAGGTGTACAAGTGGTCATCGTACAGGTAAAGTTTGGGCCTCCCTTTGGTCCCCACTTCATCTGGTTTGAGATCAGGTACCCTCATTGATGCGATGTGGGTCCCCCCAGCCCCCCAGGCAGTTTCTGGCGACCGTCAATCCCTTTCTTATGGTATTGTGGTAAGTGCTCAGGGTCTTATGAGTGAGAACATGTGGTACTTAGTTATTTGTTCGTGTGTTAAATCACTATTATAGACTCCAAATCCATCCACGTTGCTGCGAAGTCCAAAATTTTTTCCTTTTTTATGACTGTGTAATATTCCATGGTGTATGTGTACCACATTTTTTTTCCAGTCCAGTTTTTATGAGCAACATGGTTGGTTCCATGTTTTTGCTATTGTGAATAATGCTGCAATAAACATGCATGCACAGGTATCTTTTTTGTAGAATGATTTAAGTTCCTCTGGGTGTACTCCCAGAAGGGAGATTGCTGGGTCATATGGAAGGTCAATTTCTAGTTTTAGGAATCACCAGACCGTTTTCCATAGAGCTTGAACTAGTTTGCATTCCTACCAGCAGTGTAGACATGTTCCCTTTTCTCCTCATCCTTGAAATCTGACTTTTAGCTTCAGCTTTGTCACTCCTTAATTGTGTGACACTCAGCAAGTTACTTCTCAGAGGCCAAGTTTCCCCAATTTAAAGATAAGGATAACTGTGACTTCATGGTGTTGTTTTGCAAAACAGAACTAATTCTTAAGTTCCCCAACTGAAGAGTCAGATCAGGTGTGCATTAAAAACATAATGGTTATTACTACTACTGTTGTTGTGAGTATTGGTGGAGCTTTGATTTAAGACTTAACTCATTCAGAGTTTGGGTGGACTATCAGTGGAAGTGGAACCAGGAACTGGCTCAAACCCTGTGTGACTTTTCTAGAAGAAAAGTTTGGATTTCTTCTATTTTACATTTCCTCAAGGAGCATGAGCTACCTGTTAGTGACTCTTGGGTTTTTGCTTGAATGATCTTTGAATAAATAAGGACTTCCAGGGCATAAATTTTCTCATTGTTCTTATGCAAGTTATTAAAATTAAATATAACTACAGATTGGAGAGTATTTTTTCAATTACACAGAGTTTGTGGAGAGTCATTCTTTGTCTACTTACACTTAATCAGCATGCAGTATGTTATGTGCTTTTACTGTCCATGTGTTAAGAAGGTAATACTCATGTTATAGCTATTTTTATGTTAGCCAAAAAAAAGTGGCAAAGTGCTCACTTTTGTGAAGAGCATGCATGCAAGTCGCTTGTTTATTAACCAGGTTTGGCAGCAACACACTTATAAAGCTAATGATTGCTGTCTATTAATATTGTAAATTTAATTCGAATATTATAAACGTCTGTTCTTCTAAGACTGAATGTTAAGATTAGAATTTAGAATTTGGTACAAGTATGTATAAATTATTTCAACAGAAAAAATGAATGCAAATCAGAGACCAGCTGGAGGCAGATTTGCATGATTATTTTAATGCTGTGACAGGACAGAATACTCAGAAATTCGAATTAGAGTGCGTCTTTCTTATACCTGCAAGGGTCACCGAATCT